TTTTTCTTTACGCTTAATGGGCTTTCCTGTCTTGTTGGGCTTTTATTTTCTAGACTCACAATGGATTATCATGGCCTGGCCCAGAGGCTTTTCTAGACCAATGATGCCGAGAATATTTACACTATGGAGCTATATATAACTAGAGGTGGCCATTCAACAGTCGGGTCATGGTCCATCCCGCCCTCCGGCCGACGGGCCTCAAATTCATGGCCCTTGACCGGACTTAACCGACGGGTCACCGATTCGCCGGTATTTTACCGGTTTCGGGCCGGTTCGGCCAATATAAAAAAAAAAGTAAAAAAAACAACACCGCCCGTCTTTCAATTCGCGGCCCAGACTGCCAGGACAAAAAAAGAAACAGAACCGACTCGTTTCCACGGTTCTGGTTCATAGAACCGCCAAAATTTAGGCCGGTTAAGGGCCGGTCCAAGACTGGTTCGGCGCCGGTACGGCAGGTCGGCCGGGTTGGCCCTTGGCCACCCCCTATATATAACATTGGTCTTAAATCGGAGCTATATAACATTGGAAACGCGGATATATTGTGAGACGATGAGATGAAAGAAACCAAAAAACTCAGGACGAGAAATGAAGAGTGGACTGAATTAAAAAAGAAAAAAAAAACTATTAAGGAAATGAAAAAAATGGAATAATAAGTAAAAAAAGTAAAACAAGCTAGACCAAAATTCTAATTTGTTAAATCAATTACAGATTATATTTATAGTTGAATAATATTTCAAATAGCAAAACCGACACCGACCAAAATAAAAATTCCGATTGGTTTTCCGGTTTTAGTCTAACTTTGAACACTCCTAGGTGTGGTTTAATTGAAATTTGAAAGCGTGGTCGGACTCGTATGAGATATGACTTTAAAAGGCTTGAGTCATTCAGATTAAAATCGCATCTTTTGAATATAAAAACCGATTCGCACTGAAATTTTGTCGGTTTTTCAATTTCTTAACCGCATTGCAAATGTACCTATCCAAAAATCGACCTAACTGCACCGAATACATCGGTTGGCTCGGGTATTCGATTTCACCGAATACATCGGTTGGCTCGGGTATTCG